CTATTTTTAACAATGAGTTAAGTTTTTTTTTTTTTTTTTTTTTTTTTTGTGTCACTTTCTTTGTGTTTGTTACTTCCTCAATAATTTTTTTTAAAAAGTTTCTATTAAAGAAAACCACAAAGGTGTTGTCTTAATATTTCTATGATTATCATGGAGACTTCTGGCTTTATTTCATAGGATTAGATGGTGATGAGAACATAGTATCATGAAGACATTAGCCTGGGTAATACTACAAAGATGTCCTTAACAGTAGGATGCTAATCAGTTTTTTGTAAAAAAATACAAAAAAACAAGGTTTTATTGCCCAATAAGGAACTTCAGAATTTAGAACTCATTTCATTTATCCAATAAGCTTATAGAATTTAGAACTCATTTCATTTGCCCAATAAGCTTATAGAATTTAGAACTCATTTCATTTGCCCAATAAGCTTATAGAATTTCAGAATTTAGAACTCATTTCATTTGTTGCCCAATAAGCTTATAGAATTTAGAACTCATTTCATTTGCCCAATAAGCTTATAGAATTTCAGAATTTAGAACTCATTTCATTTGCCCAATAAGCTTATAGAATTTAGAACTCATTTCATTTGCCCAATAAGCTTATAGAATTTCAGAATTTAGAACTCATTTCATTTGCCCAATAAGCTTATAGAATTTAGAACTCATTTCATTTGCCCAATAAGCTTATAGAATTTAGAACTCATTTCATTTGCCCAATAAGCTTATAGAATTTAGAACTCATTTCATTTGCCCAATAAGCTTACAGAATTTAGAACTTGTTCCATTTGCCCAATATAAGACTGCAGGATGTATCACTTTCACTCAGTTATTTCAGTTATCAGCACTTTTCCTTTGTTGTTTTTTTATCACCTTTCCTAATTGGCAATTATTGGCAATTATCGTAATTATCTTATAAAAAAGGTATTAAGGTTAATTGGCAATTAGTCATTCGCCCGATTTGATAAACGACAAGTCACGATGAGAAACTGGCATTCACTGAAGCAAACAATTTTCAGTCAAACGTGTAGCTCTTGCAATTTCACCAAAAATAACTGTTTGATGACGTCACTAATCACAAAATTTGCTTCATCGCATAAGACTCTTTGTTTTTAGTGATGTCATCAAACACTTAGTTTTAATGGAATAGCAGGAACCACAGACTTCTGATTGAAAATTGGAATGGTGCAAAATGATTAGTGTCCCCGATACAAAATAATTTTTTTGAAAATTTCTCTACAATCCTTTTACAATAAAGGTACCCTCAAGGTGCCAATAAACAGGCCAAAAATGAAACGTGTCCAAAATGTAACCAGTAGACCTAATAGTAGATGCTACATGGCAGCTTTGACACTTTTTAAGCTGAGGTTGATAATTAAGTCACAAGCCCTAACTAAAAGATAGCAATCTCCGTCTGTCACATGAGTAATGAGTCATTCCT